GGTTCACGGTTAGAACAAAGGAGAGAGCTATTTATACTCATAATAGAATCCAACCGTTCAGATCCGCGTCAGAAGTTCTGACACAGATCGTCGGAACTTCTGGCCCTTCTACAAAACACTGTTCATGGCATAGTCAAAGGTGGTCAACACAACCAGAGCCGGAACTCCCGACGCAACGTCGGAACTTCCGGCAATCGGGACTCCCGACGCACAGACGAGCCAGGGGCCTAAGTCCCAGGGCATCGGGACTTTCCTGCGGGAGTCGGGACTTCCGGCACCCGGAACTCCCGACTCCCATCGGGACATCCAACAGGCGAAGGTGCGCAGGCGGGCTGGCGGCAAGGTCAGCAAGCGTCGGGACTTCCGGCACCAAACGTCGGGACTTCCGACTACCAAAAGTCCACAAACTATGTCTAAGTGTTCGTGAGGTGATTTTATGTCTCTCTTTTGATTTTATTTTTATGCTTGAGCACTCTATCTTTCTCAGACCACCTAAACTTTCATCCCTCTTTATAGTACGGCATACCTAAACCCAAAACAAAATATAAAAGCTTTGGAGAGTTCTATGGGTTCGTCCGCTTTTTGCACTTGAAGAATTGAGGGATACCATTTCATCTTAGATCAACTCTTTAAAACTTTCAATGGATTAAAGCTGTAATATATCACATTAAGATCTCATTAGCCCCTAATTTGAATGTCATCAATACACCAAAACCCATATAGTGGGCAAATGCACTTTCAACCACCTCTCCCCAACGCAAATCCTCCCCTGACCCCTCCTCGACCCTCACTGGAAGCGCAACCATCGTGAGTCCGTGAAGAGCGGCAATGGGGTGAGGAGTAGTTGCGGTGTACGACGAACTCTTGTATCTCCTCCCGTTCTCGTACCTCCCCGTAGGGAATCGCTGGCGGCAGCGAGAGCCTTCCTCTAGTCAACGCAAACGCCACCGGATCCAGATCAGGTGGGCGGAGATGCCGGCAAGGCCCCTTGATCTATGGCAAGCCAACACTGCTGAGAGAGCCCGCTGGCGATGAACCTAGCCAGCGGAGGAGAGGTCGTCGACGACTTCGGCGGGCTCAAGGTCAACATCGCCAGCTCGGCGGAGTCCAATGCTGTGGTTTGAGGCTCCAAATCTGAGGTACCCCTCGTTTTTTACCCTTGTGAAACAGACTCGGTTGAACCCTTCGATTTGTTATAATTATTCTGAACTATATGGCATCAAGTAAAACATGTGTTCACAAGAAAAATGCATTTTTTATATAAAGGAGAATATACACAGCCCACAAAAAGGAAAATAAGGCTACATACCATTTTTCTTTTGTTGATCATAGCTATGCAGTTGTCCATATTTATTTGTTTATTTACTGTCAAGTTGTTTCAGTTTGTCCATTATTTGTAGTTTTGTCATATTTAAGTTTTTCAGATCTCGGAGCTCAGGATTATGCAGCAAAACTTCTTTTGACTGATAGATGTATGTCTCTATGGGCTCTTGTGATAGGAACATACAGGAGAATTTACTTGGGTAAGAAAGAATGTTGCACCAGTCATTTGGCTTTAGTCTAAGGATTCAGTTCAGGAGTTCCTTATAAATTGAGGTATGTAAAATTCTAGATGTGAACTACTGAGTAATTTTCAGGTTCTCCTCTGTTCCAAATTAAGATTAAAACTTGAAGCAAAACCACACTCCCTGAACAATTTTGCAACTGATTATTGTATTGACTTGTTTGCAGGTGACGTAAGCTGAATGGAACTGGAGAGACCACGCAGTCCTGAATATGTTTGGTTTCTGGCGGCGCCGGGTGAAACTTGGAAGGTGAATGTTATGCACGGTTCTTTAATGTCATCCTGTGATGTTTTTCCTCACTTTTTTTTAGACTTTTGGTACCTGTTATGTGATGATGACAAGGGGAATTTGTTATGTGAAATTCAGTTTCTTGTGTACTTGAGTAAATTGATGAAGTCAAACGGCTTTATGAATCCCAGTTAATTATTTTGCTTTTGTTTTTCTGGTCGAAGGGTGACGCAAGTGATCCTTTGAACAGCTTTGAGAGTCATGTTGGACCCAATAGCCTCCCCAATGTGAGCCTATGACTAAAAAATGCATCTAGTTGTTAGTACTGTTGTATTTAGGCCACAACTGGTTGTTTTTCTTTTCATCACAGACCTGGATAAAGTATAGGGTTCTATTTAGGAAGCAAGTTATATTGATAATAATACACTGATCGGCACAAATTTGCACTGGTCTTTTTTCTCATCCCTGTCAGCTTACCTACAGCCATCGCCTCTGCTTGCTTGCTTGCTTAGGTGTCTCCATGTACACAAGACCTTTCTTTGTTTGCCTCTTTCTTTGTAGTACAAAAAAAATTACTGGTACATGGTGATGGAGTAACTTCAGCATCAATCAAATCACACAGACAAAGCTTAAAATATGATTGACGTGCTTTTGATCCTAAATTATGGAGTAATTTCTTTTTTAACTGTGCTTGCGTATTGCTGGACTATTTTTCCATTTTCTAGGGTCTGCACTAATGTATGCAGCTTTAATTTCTATGTTTTTTCAGTCCAACAACCATGGCAGTTACTAGATGAGAGGAAAGGAAGATCAAAGGAAAATCAAAGTGCTCATAGTGGTGGTTTTGTTCCATGACTTCCTAGAGATGAAACATTTTTCAAAAGAACTTTATCATTGTGCAAGTAAGACATATGAGTTATGTTTTGTATGCGACAAACATCTTAGTTGTGTAGATACTTAAGTGGTCTAGTTTGGTTGTGAGTATTTTGTATAAAACATTGTACAAGTACATATGTTGATGGCGCCAATGGGAAATTGTGAGCATGGTTTACGCGGTTCTGTGTTTGATGCTCAACATCAGTTTGGATGGATAATGTTTAAATGGCTGATGCTATATGGTTGTTGTATAATTAATTAGTTCATATTATGCTAGCATTAGACAGTTGGTCACTATAAATATATATTGTCAGACAGTGTGTCGTTATAATTTGAAAATAGGTGTTAGATAATAGTCGTTGTATCTCGTACAGCGTCTGACGATCGGTCGTTAAAAGTCGGTCGGTCATTAAAGATTTATAACGGCGCCAATTTGAACGGCAAATATAAGGGTCGTTAAAAGATATAAGGACCGACCGTATATCGTTGAAACGGCTTTTAACGACCCACCGCAACGTTAAAGATAGGCTGTGGTGTAGTGGGCGTGTTGATCCACGCGTGCGAAAAAATCCCTCCTTTGGCATGGAACGGGAAAGCTGCGGCTTTGTCTCTCGCGTGTCTTGGTGCACCGTCTCTCCGACGCCCGTCGTCCACCGTCGCTTCCAGGAGTTCATGTTTAGTACAATCACCGCAGCTTCGAGGCGTCAAGCAAAATAAACCAGTCTACAACTCCACACGTGGATTTGGCACAAGCGTGGGTTGGGTGGACGGAGTGGATTAACCCAATCCATGGGTGGAGCAGGTGACACGTGTTTTAAATACACAATCAGCCAAACAAAGCCTCTGGGGGAGGCAAAGTGTGATCGTCTTGTTTTCGTGATATCTAATTAAGATGTTTGTCAGTTTTGCGATCAAATTGCATGGTTGAAGGAGCTGGAACAGAGGACCTCTATGGACAGGAGGGCAGTGACAGATAAAACGCAGCAGTGACAAATAAACAACGGTACGCCTAGCGTCCGGACATCCGGCGCCAGGACGTATCCGAACGCACCTCAGAAAATAGCACCTGCATACAGAAACAGCGCTAGCACGCGTGCGCGCGTCCCCATCCACGGCCTATCTCCGGCCTCCACACCCCCATCCCGCCACCGCGCTGCCATCTCGGGCGCGCTCCCTCTGCAAGCCCCCCGCCGCGCCCCCTCCGCAGGACCCTGCCGCGCCGTGCAGCGCCGTAGCCGTTTCGTGTTGCACGCGGGGCCCATGCCGTCCGAGCGACAAGAGGGGAAGGGCACGCGGCGCCTCCAACGCGGAAAGACCCGGCCACAGCGTCGTATGGATGCCCTGCCGGTTCCGGGAGAGACGATGCAGCAGAAGGTGGAGAGGAGAGATGCAACACCCGATCTACTTTTGAAACATCCAAATGCCACAGTTGCAACATACTTCTAAAGGCGGTTGAAACACTTGAAACATGCTTCTGAAAGACTTGAAAAAAAACAAGAAACACACTTGAAAACCATTGCAACCACGCGCAACATCCAAATAAAACACATGTGCTTGCAACGTGTCTCTAAAACAATTGCAACATATGCAATATCCCCCGATCTACTTTTGCAACATCCATATGAAACAAATATAACATACATCTAAAACGCCTGAAACACTTGAAACATACATATGCAACATAAGGTAGGAAAAGGCGGGGTCGGTCGATTCCGGCCGCCGGGGGTGGGGAGGGCGTCGCGCGCGGGGTGGGGCAGCAGAGCTGCCCACTCCCCTGCAACACCGCCGCGCCACCTCCATGGATCTTACCGGGGTGAGAGAGAGGGCCACCTGATCCGCGGGCGTTGGGCTCTCCCGGTGGGTGAGGACGCTGGGGTGGAGGGAGGGGCGCTGCAAGGGTGGGAGGAGGGCGCCGGGGTAGCTCGCGGTGTGCGAGAGCGGAAGGGATGAGGATGCGAGGGACTCTGTGTGGAAGTGAGCGAGTGAGGCGAGTTAGGTAGCGGATGTTTCGGGAGGCCGCAAGCCCGTTGGTATTGGACCGATTGCCGCGCAGGTCCAGAACGGCGTGTCCGGCACAGACACGCCTGGACGGGGCGCCCTCACATAAGCGTTATCGAATAAACATGCCTAGCTCGAGCCGTCGAACCGCGCTGGCCATGAACGTTGATTTTGCTGGGGCGCGGGGTGGTGGGTGGGCTACGTTAACAAAATAACAATCCGCCCTTTCCCGCATATTCACTGCTACTTCATTATTTGCAAGCAGTTCAACTTGTCAAAATAGCGAAGGCCCAGAAAGCAGCAGCTGCGTAGCGCCTTTGCCGGGAGCCAGCCATGCACGGCCTTCTCCCCATCCTCCTCCTCTGCTCGTCTCTCCTCGCAACCACAGCCAACGCCGACCCGACCGCGGAATCCTGCCAGAGCAACACGAACTACACGCGCGGCAGCGCGTTCCAGGCCAACCTCGACGCCCTCCTCTCATCACTCCCCGCGACCGCCGCCGCCGCGCCCACAGGGTTTGCCATGAACACCACCGGAACCTCGCCCGACCAGGCGGTCTACGGCCTCGCGCAGTGCCGCGCCGACGTCATCGACACGTCGCGCTGCCGCACGTGCCTCGATGGCACGGCGCAGGACGTGGCCGCCGGCAAGTGCGCAGGCCAGAAGAAGGCCGTGCTCGTCTACGACAACTGCCTGCTGCGGCTCTCCGACGAGAGGTTCTTCGGCGCCGTCGACATGTCACGTGTGGTCTACCTCTACAAGAACCAGAACGCGACGCAGCCGGAGCAGTTCACGCCGCGGCTCGGCGCGCTGATGAGCAACCTCGCGAAGAAGGCGGCGCTCGAGTCCCCGCGGATGTTCGCGGTTGACTCAGCCGCGGTGACGCCCTTCGTGAACATCTACGGTATGGCGCAGTGCACTAGGGACCTTACCGCCGACGACTGCAACCGCTGCCTCGTCAACGCCGTCTCGTCGATCCCGAACTGCTGTAGCGGGATGAAGGGTGGCCAGCTCATCTACGCTAGCTGCTCCATCCGGTTCGAGGTGGAGCCGTTCTACAACATCCAGGCCGCCGAGGCGGCGATGTCGCCGGCGCCGTTCCCGGGAGGCGGGTTCGACAACGGAAGTGACCACTCGGGTCCAGGAAGCGACGGTGAGTCCATCCACAATGCAACTCCTCCAATCTCCTATCTCCCGTAGTCCCGTCACTTTCCTGACGCGTTTGATAGTTGACACTTAGGATCTTCTGCCGTCCAGTCACTTTCCATACGCGTTTCATAGTTGACGCTTGTTGTAGCTCCGAGATCTGAACTCCGCTGTTGTCGCCGTGATAATTGACAGTTGCCCTCATCTTGACTCGGCAAAATTGACCATGGGATTCGCATATCATAAAAAGGGGTATCCTAAGCAAAAACCGAAAAGATTGCTTACACCTTGAAAAAATCAAAGCGAAGGGACAACCACGAGGTCTCGCCCAATTCACCGATTCGCCCGAGGCCTGCGCCGCAAAGGCCTCGGGCGAAAGGCTAACCCTCCGCCTTGCCGAGGCCCACTCGTCGAGGCCCTCCCGCCGAAGCCCTGCCCTGCTAGGCCTCGGACGGGTTACCGATTCTCCGATTCGTCCGAGGCCCCGCGCATAAAGCCTCAGACGAAGTACCGATTCTCCGACTCGCTCGAGGCCGGCTCGGCAACAACCTCGTTGCCTCCGTCTCGACCGACTTCTCTGACAAAACGTCACGCGTCCAACCACTCCCGCAACGTCAGCCGCACGTCGACGCGCAGTGCAGAAGCGGCCGACGGGACGGGAGATAGGGCTGAGCAGGGGTTACTGCATCAGGCTCAAAGATCGCGCTTATGATTGGCGCCCAGATCTTGCCTTATGCCACCTAATTCCTGCCCCAGGAACAACGCGGCGTGGGGAGTCAAGTCCGGGTCACTATAGCCTCGGAATCAGTGTATAGGACCAACTGCTCCCTCCAAGCCTCGGCAATCCACTTCAGGGCCTCGGTAGCCTCGGGATTTGCGCCCGCCGAGCCCCCCACGATGGCTCGGCCTCGGCACCAACTGAGCCTCGGCTTTTTACGCTGTGAACGTACAGCGACCGGCATGTCGTCAGCCATGCCCTGCGCCAAGCTATCACTGGAGCTCCCACGTCGCACAAGATCGGGTGTGACCAGCGCGTTGCTCCAGTGCATCAAGGACAAGACCACTCCGTTGACCACGCCGCCCACGGTGGCAAGCTACGAGACTCGAGACCGCCACCTCCGCTCACAAGACGCCGCGCATAGCAAACGCATGTATCGCCCCGCCGCCCCTTCAACTATAAAAGGAGAGACCGGGGCGTTTCTAAGGGGCGGAAGATAGATTTAACTCACGCATAGGCTCACGTAGATCCGGACACACGCTTCCCGCTGCACGAGAGCAACGTCTCAAACAGCCCGCACCGCTCCACGCAGAGACACAGGACTAGCTCCTCTCGCCCAACTTTGTAACCCCTACTTTGGCCGACGATGATGTCGTCACACCAAAGAGTCGGCAAGCGCAGTAGTGCGCCAGGGTCGCCCGCTCTCGTCACGCTCTTCAGTGCATCGCCGAGCAGAGACCACCCCGACACCAAGACGGCCTCGGCGGCGCGCGCGCCTCTGTCGGTATCCCATGCCCGGTTGTTGGTGCGAGGTCCCTGGTTGGGGACCTGTCTGGCCTAAGCTTGGGCAGGGGAAAGACACCGGTGACGTGCAGCGATGCCCCGTTGTCAAGTTCCGTACCGCCACCACCTGAGGAGCCAACTTCGGTGGAGCAGGGCCCGGTGATGGCCCCGTCTCCATACCCTTTCGGGTTGAGAAATGCCGCCACCGCCTACGCTTCCACCTATGCTTCTGCTCACACGGTGCCCTCAGGGCGCCACCAATGTTTCACCCTTGACTTTTCGACCACAACCTCGGCTCACACCCACACCGACGAGGTGTGGGCCAGAGCAAACTTCTCCGGGCTTCGCGACCCTGAGGCTATGCGCCGCTTTTTGGCCGCAAGCGACTACTACTTCGGCTACTCCAACTCTGATGATGAAGGCACTTACGATCCCACTCGAGAGTGCTTCCACATCGAGCTCAGAATGCTAGGGGCAAGTAATGAGAATGAAGGGGTAGGCAACCGCTCCCTGCTCCGCCAAGGGGCGGGCGACACCACACCCCCGCTCATCGAGCTTCGGGCGGCACGGAACGTGAACGCCGCCCCTGAGGAACTCCGACGCCTTGACCTGGAGCAGCTCTGTGAGCTCCAGGCAAAGGTCGACCAAGACCGACTCCTACTGCAGCAGGAGCAGCGAGGTCATGGTGATGGCGAAAGGGCCCAGCGGAGGGCCCTCGACGTCCACCGCCGCATCAACAATGACGAAGGGAGTGAGCAACCCCCAATCTTCAATCGCGCTAGCCAGAACATCGTGGCAGCAGCGATGCTAGTCTGAGCGATGCTCGAGCCCTCTACCACGGAGGGGCGACGGGTTTGCGGTGAGCTCCGAGACCTTCTCGAGACCGCCACGGTACAGCAGGCCGAAAGCTCCGTGTCTCGACGACGTGAGGACACCTCGAAACGGCCCTCGGTGCACGACCGCCTCAGGGCCCCCTCAGTGCACGACCGCCTCAGGGCCCCCTCAGTTTACGACCGCCTCAGCGACCGACGCGAGGCGCAAGATGACCACGATGTGGTCAGCAGGCGACGACGCCACGATGACGACGGGCCCGCCCGAGGCTACCACCCATATCGAGGCGGCCGTTACGACAGTGGCGAGGACTGCAGTCCTTCTCCTGGGCCACCTGGCCCTCGAGTCTTCAGCAAGGCCATCCGCGGCGCCCCGTTCCCTGCCTGGTTTCAGCAACCGGCCAACCTCGCAAAGTACAGCAGCGAGACCAACCCCGAGTTGTGGCTGGCCGATTACCGCTTGGCTTGTCAGTTAGGCGGCATGAACGATGACCTGCTCATCATCCACAACCTCCCTTTATTCCTGTCAGACTCAGTGCGAGCCTGGCTCGAACACCTCCCTCCCTTGCAAATCCACAACTGGCGCGACTTGGTAAAGGTCTTCGTCGGGAATTTCCAGGGCACATACGTGCGCCCCGGGAACTCCTGGGACCTCAAGAGTTGTCGCCAAAAGCCGAACGAGTCTCTCCAAGACTTCATCCGACGATTCTCCAAGCAGTGTACTGAGTTGCCCAGCATCGGTGACTCGGAAGTTGTCCAGGCTTTCCTCTCCGACACCTCCTGCCGAGACCTGGTCTGAGAGTTAGGCTGGAACATACCAACTTCAGCGGCCGTGCTCCTCGACATCGCCACCAACTTTGCCTCGGGTGAAGAGGCTGTCGGGGCCATCTTCCCCGAAGGCGGGCCTCGGCCTCCCGTTTCCCCAAGAAAAAGAAAAAGGGACGCCCAGGGAAGCAAGAGGCCCTCGAGGCTGATTTTGTCGCAGCCGCGGATTGCAAGAATCTCCGAGGCCCCGGTAGGGGCCCCAGAGTATTCGACGATATGCTTAAGAAGCCCTGTCCTTACCACCAGGGCCCAGTGAAGCATACCCTCAAAGAATGCACCATGCTCCGACATTACTACGCCAAGCTCGGGCTCCCCAACGACGATGCTAGGAGGAAGGGCGCCGGCGACGGAGACAATGACAAGGACGACGGGTTCCCCAAAGTGCACAATGCCTTCATGATCTTCGGCGGGCCTTCAGCGTGCCTCACGGCGCGGCAGCAAAATAGAGAGCGCCAGGAGGTCTTCTCAGTCGAGGTAGCCACTCCTCAGTACCTCAACTGGTCTCGAGAGGCGATCACCTTCGATTGGGAAGACCACCCCAACTATGTCCCAAAC